AAATCTGAAAATCCCTCTGTCTGATGCTCCGCCTCGCCGAGTCACTCACTGGACTCGCCGAGTTGGATTGACTCGCCGAGTCCATGAAGTGACTCGTCGAGTCAGTTCGAACAGAGGGCCAGAAAATGATTTTCAGCAAGTAAACAGTTAAAGCATCACATACAACAGAAACCAATCAAGTCTTTGATACCACTGATGGGTTTTATGCATAAGAACAATCCTATGTGCTCATATAAACCCTAATGCTTGGATCTAGGTTTCTCTATTGTACATGCAATGTATCCAAGACTTACAACCCTAGATCTAAGATGTATAATTCGAAATTAACATTATAAGAACATATCTAAGTGTTTACCTCTTTCAAATTGCTTGAAATCCTTTGCATCTTCTTGTTCTTGAGCTTAGAGTCACAATTGTAACTCCTCTAATGGTTCACAAACACCACAAGCAAAAAGGCTATTAGGAGATAGGGGAAGAACACTAGAAATCGGCCTTAGGGTTTCTATTGGAAGCAAGCATCCGAAAATTGCATGCAAGGGCCTCAATTTATAGTGTATGCTACTAGGGTTTCAGGTAAAACCCTAATGGACAGCTTAGTGACCAAGCAACCCATGGAACCTTCTAGGTTAAGGCCTTTGGACGAAAATATGATGGATCCCCATCATAATTTCATTCCCCCTTATACCTATTAGGTTTCCTAGCCCAAAACTCAACTATCATACTTTTGACAGTTTATAGCCCTTTATTCAATTAATCCCTTTTAGTCACCAAATTAATTCCTAATTAATTTATGACTAATATTAATCAAATAATATGATTTCTCCTTTAATATATTAATCTTATAATATATTAATAAATCATAATTTCCTCTCTCTCTTCTCAAATAACCTTGTCAAGTTGCTTTGGTGAAAGCAACCCAAAAAGACCATGCATAACCAGGTCAAGTACATACCAAATATAGTTACGGGCTTAGACAATAATCCAACACATCCGCCCCCAGATGTTTCCGTCGACCTGGTTTGGGGGTGTGACAATTAAGTCCGATTTCCCCACCTTATTTCCAACCTTCATCATTACAAACGTCTTCTCTTGCAAACCCTATCCCTATTGTAGCATTTTGAAGCTTGAGTGTGTGTTTTTGTGTGTTCCAAAGGAACAAGAAGGTGGTGGTGAAGCTTGGAAAGCTAGAAGCAACCTTGGATCTGGAAGTCTTGCATTATTCTCCATCTCTAGAAGGTATAAAGTTCATATCATGATGGATAACTTGTTAGATCTTGGTTATATGATATTTTATGAGTTTTTTGTCCCAAAAATGGGGATTCTTGAGCATGACATGTTCTTGACCCAATAAGTCATCCTTTCAGACCTTATGAGGGGTCTTGAGTCAGAAAAATATAGTCTTGACGGTTGGTTTTCCTCCATGCATTCTATATAAGTTCTTAATGCATTAAGATGTTGTACTTTGGGGTATTTGGCACTTAATGGCCATGCAAGACCATAAAGTTGGAAAATTTATGGTCAAAGACATCATTTTGGCCTTGGATCTGCATTTGGACATATTAAGTCGAAGTATATGTGAAAATTATAGATTTGGAGAGTACGTCATGCGTACCTATGCGTACGCCGAGCGTACTCAGTCAATTTACCCGATCACGGTCAAGCCAGAGTATGCCCCGTGTACGCAAACTATATCCACTCTGCTAGTTTGACTCACTTGACTTGTTGATTTTAACCAGTATTGACCAAGGGTATTTTTGGAAAATTATTAATGGATAATGTTTTGACATTTAGGTTTTGGGTGAGCCGGTATTTGGAGCAGTCTATCATTTAGCTTTTCGTCGGACTGTGAGGTGAGTCTTTCCTCACTATACTTACAGTTCGAAGGCACCAAGGCCGGCCCATTGGATTGATATCCTGATTTATTGTATGTGCTAAGTTGTAGTGATCTATTAAATCTGTATCCCGACATATAGGATGTAGTATGTGGTAATGGTATGTGAATCTGCATTTATGTCTGATAATCGGTTATATGGTTAACTGTTGTTAGATATATGTTATGTATGTGTATGTCAACATAATATGGTTAGGATGAGATGGTAACGCTTTGTGCGGTAGCCAACAAACCCTGGAGCAAGCCAGACATAAGCTGTGGGCAAGCCAAACTTATGGTGTGGGGTCGAGGGCAAGCCAAAAAAAAGTTGTGGACATGAGGGCAAGCCAGACTTATGCTATGGGATCGAGAGCAAGCCAAACACAATATGTGAGCCTGAGGGCAAGCCATACTTATGTTGTGGGCTCAGGAGCAAGCCAGATATGAGTTGTAGGCACAATAGGCAAGCCAGACTCATACTATGGGATCAGGGGTAATCCAGTACTTTGTTGTGGACCAAATACACATTGTTGTTTGTTATGTTTATATGGTGGTAGTTTGGGGGAAACTCACTAAGCTTTGACTTGCGGTTTTAATTATTGTCTCATGGTATTTCTTATGATTGCGGGAAGGCAAATGCGTAACCGTACACATCTTCTGTTATGGCTTTATGATTACGAGACACTCTGATAATGATAAGCGATTTAGATACAATCATTTTGTAAACACTTTATGATTTTGGGTTCCCTGAAATAGTTTAAATTTGTGTGATTTTTTAGATGTTACAAGTTGGTATCAAAGCCTTGGTTTGAGCGAATTGGAGGAACATCCGTGTGAATCCGGTCACACACTAAGGAACTCCAAAAAAGTAATACATAATTTGAATGTTTTGGCGAAACAGTTGACCATTATAATCGATATAAAAAAACATAAAATTGGTGAAGTTATTTATATGGTTTACCTAATTTAACACGCTTTAGCTACAACAAAAATGGTAAATGTTGACAATTAATTCGGAAAATTAATTGGTTTTTCAAAAAATAGTAACATTGTAACAGTTCTAACTATTTTGTTTTTATAATCACATATAGATACAATCAATCCTCTAGTCAACAAAAAATAAACTTGTTCTTAATTTAATAGATAATGTGATATTTTAGCGTTATGAAGAGAGACATAGAAGGAAAAGTGGAAAAAAATCATAGCAGTCACAAACACACGCTCACTCAAATACATAAACATACATATAGTCAAAGACACATACACACTATCACAAACATATATAAAAGAAGTTTATTACGATCAGATGACAGAAATAAATAAAAAACAGTATACATACACACTTCAAGTTATATCAAATGTAACATCAAGCCGAAACAAAGTTCATCAATGGAAAATTAATAGCATACAGACATTTAAATAATCATCATAACAAGTAGTTCTTACCTAGTAGAAAATAAATTGTAGTAGGAAGATAAGGAAAACCGTGGTGCCTTTTTTTTGTTCTAGTCACACCTTCTTTTTTTCTTCAGTTCAAACGTTCTTTATACACTGTATTATAGAATATATAAAATAACAATAGTTAATTATAGAGCTGAAACAAACCAAAAATAATGAAATTAATATCATAACAAAAATATGCAAAATCATACAAAAATTAAGTCAATTTAAATCATAATGTGACGATGAGTGGTGGTAGGATTAGGAAGTCAGTTTGGTAGAGAGATAGAGAGAGAGGTAGCCTTGGATCATCATGTGGAATCATTGCTGGAAAAGTGGTGCGAAGGTAGAGAGATGGTGCAGACGACGGTCAAATACGGTGGGTGGTAGAGGTTAGAGAAAGGATTGTGGTTCACTTTTCGTGTGATGTTAGTGTGGGTATATATATATATATATATATATATATATATATATATATATATATATATATATATATATATATATATATATATATATACTGAGAGAGAGAGAGAGACAACAAGATAGGGATGATGGATGCCATTGGCGGTAACGACCGTATCTTGGTGTGTAGAGGAGATTAGGGCTTTCAACATGTACAAGGAATTACCGAAATACATTTAGGTGCGCATTCATTTAGATTGAAAGCTTAATATGAATGTACATGATGTTAAAATAGTTATACCTCTTAAATTATAAGAAATATCTAAAATGTTTTCTATAATAGTAACGATATATCAACGAACTCCTAAAAATGGAGCGAAGCAACGAACCGAGAAATCGATTGCTTTTTCAATAAATTTCTTTCATTCCTCGCAATTAAAGGAAAGAACCAACAAACTAATTACTAAATCATTGTTCGATTACAAAAATTAAAAACTTATAATTTGATGTAAAATTTTCTAAACAAATCTTATGCATTTGATTGACGCATTGTTTTTTTTCCTACTTGTTTCACAAAAACCTTCAAAATCTTGATCCATTAAGATATTAGATTATTTATGTTGCTTTTAACTTTGTAAAGAAGGAAAAAATTTCATTTATGGTTCTTCTGAATTTAGGATGTGGAGTACTCTGATTTGTGACTTCTGGTGGTTCTGAATTCTGTGTAGAATTGTATTCTTCATGTGCAACAGTTTGCTGGTCATTTACTGCATTAGATGCATTTCCGTCATTTTCACATGTGGTTTAAAGCATAACCTCATTGGGTGGATGTGTATTAGTTTGATTCTTAGCCATTGGATCATCAAGATGCTACTCTTGTGAATTGATGTGGGTAGATGAATTAGGAATTTAGGATTAACTTGTCCTTCTTTCTCTGGAATGCCAATATTCAGGCCCGGTTTTGGGCAAGTGCAAGATGGGCAATGGAATAGAGCCCACAAATTGAAGGTGCCTATTTTTTTAATTGTATTACCGTTCAACCCAACTGCCAAATCAATTCAACATCATCTGAAGAATCAGCGACCAACGTCAAACCGAAGCTAGCGCCCAACAACGATCATTTGATCAATCATCATTGTTTTCATTTTCATTAAAAAAAAATGGATTGCAGCCTTCCAGACTGCAGCAACAGCAATCAGCAAATCAGCGGGCATCAGACATCAGGCATCGGTGTGCGAGACAGTACACACCCACAACAAATCGGCTTGAGACAGCATATAGGTGAGAAATGTCTGAATTGCAGATTGTGAATGGTTATAATCAAAGGCATCCTGGTCAAAAGGTAGTTTAGTTGCTCCTACAAATATATCACTATTGTTAATAACTTAATATCTAACAGTTTAAGTTCATGAATATAGACTGAAGAGGAAAACAATGATGGTTGGGAGACTGTTGGGAAGAAGCCTGCAAGAAAACACCAACAGGTAATTAAGTTATTAACTTATTACATTCTTGTTTAATTTCATACAACATCTTTTACCTAAAAAACTCACAAGTTCAAAAAGACAATTGGGAAAACTTCAAACGTCCTACAAATGAGAAAGAATATTCTAATGAAGTTTCACATACTTCTCAAACGGAACCCTCCCAAGATGAACTCAATGACATTATCCAAGCTTGAAACAAGCTATGGGAGCTTGATTACAACAGTTTAACACCTGGAAATGACTATGAAATCGACTGTGGTGAAGGAAAGAAGGCATATCAAAATCAAGATATGGCAGAAGGCAGCCTCGTCAATTGGCTAAGTGAAGATGTTCTAAAAAAACCTACAATTTCTCGATTCTATTCTCCTTTAGATAACTATAGTTCACATGAAGGGTATACAGAACAAGTCACTTCTCAAGAGAAACAAGAACAACTCGGTTTCATTGAAGAGATCTATAGAATTGCACATATTATATACCTTTTTAAGTATCTTTGGGCAAAGGGTATTGTATCCCATGATTATGCGGAATTTAAAGGGCTTTTGACAAGTCTTTGGTTTGATTTATATGGTCGTGGTTGCACCTCTAGTTGTTCTTCAACTTTTGAACATGTTTTTGTTGGAGAAATCAAAAGTCGCGGGGAGCAGTCGGTTTCAGGCTTCCATAAACTCGCGGGGAACAGTCGGTTTAGGGCTTCCGTAATTGGCTACAGGTGCGTGTATTTGAATAAAAAATTAGTTTACGTAATTTAATTCGTTACACGTTAAGGATTAAGGGCCTTTTTTATCCACCCCGTCTTGGGCATTTGAATCCTCAGAACCGGCCCTACCAATATCTAATCATTGTTCTAGAAGATAGTCGTTTTTAGTGTCCTGACAAATCAAAGAAAATTGCAGACATTCACAAAGCGATGTTATATTCACAGTGAAAGAAAACGAAACACAAGAACTCGATCTTGAAGACATTCACAAAGCTAAAAAGCATATGATAAAGTTGACTCAATCATCTACTGTTAGAAATCAGAAGGAATTGATCATCTCTTGGGCTAAAAGTTTGGACATGAACAGTAAGCAGATCACACGAATTGGGCTTCATAATTTGGATTAATGAATAATAATGGATACCAATTTGATCATGAACAAAAAAATGTTTGGGCTCAAAAATCAAAACAGATTTTGAATGAATTATGGGCTCGATCTAAACAAAAATTAATTGGATCAAACAAAAGGAATTGAAACGAATTAGATCCAATAAATCAAAACGATCAAAAATTCAAGAACATAACGCACGAATCAACGAGATTTAGAGAGTTCATGTAGACAGACTCACCGTAAATGCTCGAATTGTGATAAATTTTGCCAAACCGAGAATCGTTTCTTCAAATAATCATGTTGATCTTTGAAGACCCCCTATGATACCAAATGTACTGATTTATGAATATTGGTTTGGCATGCGGAATTAAAGAACACACAATGAACACGGTCATTTGGGTGGTTAAGAGATGCATTGTAATGACCCAATTTTCACGTCCAAAAATTTCATTATAAAATAAATACTTTGGAAAACTTTAGTGAATAAACATCGTTCGATCATATCATTTCATAAAACATATTTCATGTCTGAAAAACAAAACAAGAAATCAACCATAATGTCAGAGTACAAATCCCAGAATAATATCATAGTGCGGAAAACAAGGTGTGTGTGTGTGACGTGCCGCTACCGCGCCAGCTCCTTCCCTTTCGATGAAAAGGTACCTGAAACCAAAATTGTAAACTGTAAGCATGAAGCTTAGTGAGTTCCCCCATCGTACCACAACATACCGTACAATCACATAACATAAACACTGCCAGGCAATTCTGGGGTGCCCGACCTACCCGGTACGACCATTCTGGGGTGCCGACCTACCCACGCGGCCATTCTGGGTGCCGTCCTACCCGTGTCAAGCCATTATGGGGTGCTGACCGACCCATGTCAAGCTGTTCTGGGGTGCTGACTACCCTTTGATCCTAACAACCAAACTTCGGGGACTATTCCACCCTTACTACTACTGCTATCACATATCATAACATATCAGATTATCAGAAATATCTGGGGTGTCTGACTACCCTTCAGTCTTAACAACCGAACTCTACTACTATCGCATATAACATATCATGCCAACATAAAAACATATAATCACATACTGTCAAACATATCTGGGGTGTCTGACCTACTCTTCGGTCCTAACCACCGAACTCTACTAATATCTCATGTAACATATCATGCCAGTATCTAACATATCAGGTAGTAGCAAACCTAGATGATATCAGAAAGACAATCATCTAACATACAACTCCTACTGGTGAGTGGGCATTGTGGCCGTAGACCCACCGCTACTGGAAGGTAACTCACCTCGAAGTAGCTGTTGATCTGCGCGGGAACTGTCTGTCTACTGCTGCTGCTCTGGAAATCCTCCGGCTATAATTCGCACAAAACATTCAGTCAACCACTGCTAACTGTCCTTAGGGTAAAATGACCATTTTGCCGCTGTCCAAGTCAAAAGTCAAAGTCAAAGTCAACTTCCAGTTGACCCGACTCGCCGAGTTGGCTCGCCAACTCGTCGAGTCCCTATCCAGTCGATTGTCCTCATTCCTGTCCCTACTCGTCGAGTTAGACATTGACTCGACGAGTTCTCCTTCTAAACAGATATCAAATGGTCCTTCATCCGACTCGCCGAGTTGTATGAACAACTCGTCGAGTTCATCTTCATCCGATGAACACTCTGGTATGTGACTCACCGAGTTGTATGAACAACTCGTCGAGTATGTTCTTGAGGCAAGAAGATTGCCTTGAACTCGCTGAGTCAGGGCATTGACTCGCCGTGTCTCTCCATTATTGAGTCTGGATTCTGACTCACTGAGTCTACCTATAACTCACTAATCCCACTCGGCATAACTCAAAAGGAGAAAATCGGGGACTCGCGACTCGACTCGCCGAGTCTAAAGAACGACTCGCCGAGTCACATGCATGCAATGACTACATACTCGATTCTGCTTGAATGCAGTGCATTCCATTCATAGATCTGGGTTATTAGGGTTAATTTTACACGTAAAGTTTCCAACTTTACGTGCATGCATGCTTATACAAGTGATTTAAGGGCTCTAATGGGGTTAGAAGTGTAGATCTAGGCTTGTTCATGAAAATGGCCCCATAAAGGTAGTAGATCTGAGCCTCTAGAACTCAGATGTGGGTAGATCTGATGGCTAATCGAATCAATGTGTCCTCTAAACCACTACCAAGCCAATAAATGGTTCCAAATAGCATTATTGATGTTCTAATGAAGGTTCAAGCATAGAAACAGTAAAAGAGGTCGAGTTTTACCTTACTATCTTTGAAATGGACTCACAACCTCTGTTCTTCTCCTTATCCTTGATCTTTCCTCCTTCTCTTCTTCAAAACTTCAAGGAAAAGCACACAAACACTCAAATAACAAAGGGAAGGGCTAGGGTTTTTATACAGATTGCTCTGAGGGTGAAGGAGGCGAGCTTAGGGGCGCATAAGAGGTTTTAAATAGGGTGCAAACCCTTGAAATTAGGGTTTCTTCCAGACTGGCGGACTCGCCGAGTCGAGGATATGGACTCGTCGAGTCGCCAACTTAAACGTGTTCGATATCTCGTCTCTACTCGGCGAGTCGGGCCTACAACTCGCCGAGTGCCAGGCTAAAAATGCAATTAAAATACATACCAAGAACCAGGTGCCACAAATCTCCCCCACTTATTTTAGACTTTGTCCTCGAGGTCTGCCGCTTGCTCCTGGAAAAGCTTGGGATAATGCTCCCTCATTTCTTCTACCGGCTCCCAAGTCCACACCGAACCCTTCCGGTGCTGCCATTGCACCTTCACTAGCTCCACTCTCTTGTTCCTCAGATCCTTTGACTTCCGGTCGAGGATCGCTACTGGCCGCTCAATGTAATTCAGGCCGTCATCAACCTGAATATCCTCTAAAGGCACCACCACTGAGTCGTCCACCACGCACTTTCGCAGATGAGAAACATGGGAAGTGTTGTGTATCTAACTCATCCCGACTGGCAGATCCAGCCTACACGCCCCCATGCCCACCCGGCCTACAAACCTGAAAGGTCCAATGTACCTCGGGCCCAACTTGCCCAGCTTCCTAAATCGAATGACGTCTTTCCAAGGCGACACCTTCAGGAGAACCATATCCCCGACCTGGAAGTCTAGGTCTGATCGGCGCCTATCAGCATAACTTTTCTGCCGACTCTGAGTGGTCTATAGTCTTTTACGAACCTGCTGAATCAATCCCGTGGTATTGAGCACCACCTCGGTACTCCCGATGACTCGCTAACCGACCTCGCCCCAACAAATCGGGGTCCTGCATCTCCTCCCGTAGAGTATCTCTAAAGGAGGGCGGTCAATACTCGCAGGGTAATTGTTGTTATACGAAAATTCCGCTAATGGAAGATACGTATCCCAACTGCCCCCGAAATCTAAGACACATGCTCGAAGCATGTCCTCGAGAGTCTGAATAGTCCTCTCGCTTTGCCTGTCCATCAGAGGGTGGAAAGCGGTGCTGAAATGGACACTACTGAAACTGGCACTCCATGCCGTGCCACCACCTCGCGCACATAGATATCAGCCAGCTTCTCGTCCGATATGCTCTCCTGAATCGGTATAAAACATGCGCTCTTGGTCAGCCGGTCCACTATGACCCATATCGAATCCACTCTTCATGCGGTCCTGGGAAGCTTTGTGATAAAATCCATCATGATGTCCTCCTATTTCCACAGCGGGATATCCAACGGCTGCATATTGTCATGCGGTCTCTGATGCTCGGCCTTGACCTTCCTGGAGGTCAAGCACCGCTCCACGTACCATGCCACATCCCGCTTCATGCAGGGCCACCAATAGTCCAGACGAAGATCCCTATACATCTTCTTCGCCCCGGGATGAATGGAGAATCAAGATTTGTGTGCCTCCTCCATTGGAACCTGGGGCACACCCCCATGGTATGGCACCCACACCCTACGGTGTAGTGTCAGTAGTCCCCTACTGTCATAGTTGAAGGAGGAAACTTGTCCCACAATCCGCTGGCTTTTCCAATGTTCTTCCTTCATGGCCTCCTGTTGGTCCTCCCGAATCCGCTTCAACAGCGGAGTCATCGCCGTCATCCTCAAACAGATATTCCTGATTGGTGCTGCCTTGCGGCTAAGCGCTTCGGCCACCACATTGGCCTTCCCCGGATGGTAAAGGATCTCGCAATCGTAATCCTTTACCACATCCATCCACCTACGCTGCCTCATGTTCAAATTCGACTGATCCATAAGATACCTCAAACTTTTGTGGTCCGTGTAAATGGTACAACGAACCCCGTAAAGATAATGACGGCAAATCTTGAGGGCAAATACAACAGCCCCCAGCTCCAAATCATGTGTCTGGTAATTCGCCTCATGAGGCTTCAACTGCCTCGATGCATAGGCGATGACATGCCCTCTCCACATCAGCACTGCGCCCAAACTTGAGATGGACGCATTGTAGTACACAACAAAATCCTCCATGCCCTCTGGCAGGGCTAAGATTGGCGCCTCGCAAAATCTCTGTCTCAGAGTCTCGAATGCAACCTGCTGCTCAGGCCCCCAACGAAAGACCACGGCCATCCTTGTCAGCATGGTCAGGGGCACAACTATCTTGGAGAAATCCTGAATGAATCTCCAATAATAACCGGCTAATCCTAGGAAACTCCGAATCTCAGATGGAGACTTCAGAACCTCCCATCTCATCACGACCTCCGCTTTGGCCGGGTCCACTGAAATCCCGTCCTGGTTGACGAGATGCCCAAGGAACTGCACCTCGCGCAACCAAAACTCACACTTGGAGAACTTAGCATACAAGTTCTCCCTCCTCAAGGTCTCCAAAACCTCTCGCAGATGCTCCTCGTGTTCCTCCTGCGTCTTGGAGTAAATCAAGATAACATCAATAAACACTATCACAGACCGGTCCAACATCGGTCTACATACGCGGTTCATGAGG